ATATATTGTTAGTTTGAACTACTATAAATCAGAGCTGCCAACTCTCACGCTCAATGCTCACGCAATTGACACTTTTCGCACGCCAGTCAATTTTTACATAAATTTTGTCACTTTGATTATACTCCACCCAGCTGATGCGACACCGGCGGAAGCTGTGACAGGAATCAAGCGAAGCCGCTCTCGCGCAGTGAGTTGCAGACAGTTTGTGATTGCGTAACGTAGCTGGGAGAGTTTTGCAATATAAAAACGTATAATCTGAAGCGCAGCCTGCTCTGTTGGTAATGTGAGCTACACAGAGCTGCTGCAGTTACCATGTGAGGATTTATGGTGAAGTGTTTTCAGTTAGTTTAGTTTTGCGCAGGTCTCATCCATACAGGCCCAAACGGGTTCTGTGTCTGTCTGGGATCATATCAGCAGAACAAGTAATGAACAGCAGATTATAGGGCGGGAAGATTGTGATTTAATGATGACATTATTCTCATAAAAAGCTTTCTGGAGATGTCAGATTACATAATTATGTGGGATGGATATGCAGAAAGTTTTTAACATTCAGTCCAGGAGTTTCTAACTGAATTAAAATTAATTTGTATTTTATATTTTAAATTGTCACCTGCTGCCTGATGTGATGCAGAAAAGGCAGAAATTGGTGCAGAAAATTTCACCAGAATGCAGGAAATTAAGTGTTTAATGCTAAACATTTGCTGGGGGAGGACCCAAAACTAGCCTATAATAGGCCTATTCCAAACATTCTCGAGAAATAAAATAAATACAGTCTCTGGTTTTGAGACATATATTCTGGTGGTAGGACTCCCCAATACATGGTTTGGTCGACATTAAAGCTATCATGTCATAAGGTTGGCAAGTATCCTGATCACACTGATCTGACCATGATTATTGACTTGGCTTTTCATCTGCACATACATGTGGATGTAGCATGCATATTAAAGAGTGATGACCCCGACCCCTGCAGTGGGATATGACACAGAAGGCCTAAAATGACCGAATCTCACTCCAAACTACATTGAAATGTTGGCAGTTTGCTAGGCTAGTATTTATATACATTTGGTTAGTATTTATATATGTAGTTTGATCTACTTTATAAACAGTTTGCTAGGCTAGTATTTAAATAGCTAGTCTGAACTACCATCCATTCAACCATCCATCGTCAACCGCTTATCCTGCGTACAGGGCCTGGAGCCAATCCCAGCTGAGGCGGGGTACACCCTGGATAGGTCGCCAGTCCATCACAGGTAGTTTGATCTACTTTATATACAATTAGCTAGACTAATATATAGCTAGTTTGAACTAATGTATATATTTAGCTAGGCTAGTGTTTATATAGGTAGTTTGAACTACTTTATATACATTTGGTTAGTATTCATATAGCTAGTTTGAACTAATGTATATATTTAGCTAGGCTAGTGTTTATATAGGTAGTTTGAACTACTTTATATACAGTTAGCTAGTGTTTATATAGGTAGTTTGAACTACTTTATATACAGTTAGCTAGTGTTTATATACGTAGTTTAAACTACTTTATATACAATTAGCTAGTGTTTATATACGTAGTTTGAACTACTTTATATACAGTTAGCTAGTGTTTATATAGGTAGTTTGAACTACTTTATATACAGTTAGCTAGTGTTTGTATAGGTAGTTTGAACTACTTTATATACAATTAGCTAGTGTTTATATAGGTAGTTTGAACTAATTTATATACAGTTAGCTAGTGTTTATATAGGTAGTTTGAACTACTTTATATACAATTAGCTAGTGTTTATATAGGTAGTTTGAACTACTTTATATACAGTTAGCTAGTGTTTGTATAGGTAGTTTGAACTAATTTATATACAGTTAGCTAGTGTTTATATAGGTAGTTTGAACTACTTTATATACAATTAGCTAGTGTTTATATAGGTAGTTTAAACTACTTTATATACAGTTAGCTAGTGTTTGTATAGGTAGTTTGAACTAATTTATATACAGTTAGCTAGTGTTTATATACGTAGTTTGAACTACTTTATATACAGTTAGCTAGTGTTTATATACGTAGTTTGAACTACTTTATATACAGGTAGAGGTGGAGGTGGAGTTGCAGCTATCTTCCACTCTAGCCTACTAATCAGCTCTAAACCTAAACTAAATTATAACTCATTTGAAAGTCTTGTTCTTAGTCTTTCGCACCCAAGTTGGAAATCACTGCAACCAATTCTCTTCGTTATAGTGTACCGAGCACCTGGCCCGTACTCTGAATTCTTATCTGAATTTGCAGAGTTTTTGTCAACTTTAGTCCTTAAAACGGACAAAGTTATTATTGTAGGAGATTTTAATATTCATGTGGATGTTGAGAATGACAGCTTCAGTACTGCGTTTATCTCTTTGTTAGATTCCATCGGCTTCTCTCAGAGTGTTCATGAACCGACTCACTGTTTTAACCACACCCTCGAAATTGTTTTGGTGTATGGTATTGAAATTGAACATTTAGTGGTGTTCCCACAGAATCCCTCTTTGTCCGACCACTGTTTGATAACTTTTGAGTTTGTATTGCTGAACTACTCGCCATTGGGCAAAAATTTCTATACAAGATGTCTGTCTGATAGTGCCATAGCTAAATTTAAGGATGCGATTCCATCAGCTCTAAATACATTATCAAGTCACAAAGTAACGGAGGACTCCTATGCTAATTTCAGTCCCTCCCAAATCGATCATCTTGTTGATAGTGCTGCAGGCTCGCTGCGAATGACACTCGACTCTGTAGCCCCTCTAAAAAACAAAATACTAAAACAAAGACGGTTAGCTCCATGGTATAATACTGAAACTCGCAAATTAAAGCAAATATCACGGAAACTTGAGAGGAATTGGCGTTCCACCAAACTGGAAAATTCTCGTTTTCAATCTTTACCAACTAACTTCAATAATTTCTTCATCTAAACCATCAACCTGCCTCTTAGACCCCATCCCGACTAGACTGCTTAAAGATGTTTTACCCTTAGTCAGCACTTCTATACTAGATATGATCAATCTATCTTTATCAACAGGCTATGTACCACAGTACTTTAAAGTAGCTGTAATTAAACCTCTTCTGAAAAAGCCCAAACTTGATCCGGATGTTTTAGCCAACTATAGACCTATATCTAACCTTCCATTTCTCTCTAAGGTTCTGGAGAAAGCAGTTGCTAAACAGCTGTGTGACTTTCTACAGAGCAATAGTTTATTTGAGGATTTTCAGTCAGGATTTAGAGCTCATCATAGCACAGAGACAGCACTGGTGAAAATTACTAATGACCTCCTTATTGCATCAGACAAAGGACTTGTCTCTGTACTGGTTTATTAGATCTTAGTGCTGCATTTGATACCATTGACCATCAGATCCTATTGCAGAGACTGGAACATTTCATTGGCATTAAAGGAACCGCTCTAAGCTGGTTTAAGTCCTATTTATCAGATCGATTTCAGTTTGTACATGTTAACGATGAGTCCTCCATGCACGCCAAAGTTACTCATGGAGTTCCTCAAGGATCTGTCCTTGGACCAATCCTCTTCACTTTATATATGCTTCCTTTAGGCAATATTATCAGGAAACATTCCATAAGCTTTCATTGTTATGCAGATGATACTCAGTTATATCTATCGATCAAGCCAGATGAAACTCATCAGTTAGCTAAACTTCAAATGTGCCTTCAGGATGTTAAAACCTGGATGACCTGTAATTTTCTCATGTTAAACTCAGATAAAACTGAAGTTATTGCTCTGGGGCCTAAGCACCTCCGTGACGCATTATCTAAAGATATAGTTTCCCTGGATGGCATCGCCCTGGCCTCCAGCACCACTGTGAGGAATCTTGGAGTTATCTTTGATCAGGACATGTCGTTTAAGTCTCACATTAAGCAAATTTCAAGGACCGCCTTTTTTCACCTACGTAATATTGCGAAAATCAGGAACATCCTGTCTAAAAATGATGCAGAAAAACTAGTCCATGCATTTGTTACTTCTAGGCTGGATTACTGCAATTCCTTATTATCAGGCTGCTCGAAAAAGTCCATTAAGACTCTTCAGCTGATCCAGAATGCTGCAGCACGTGTTCTGACAGGAACCAGGAAAAGAGATCACATTTCTCCTGTTTTAGCTTCTTTGCATTGGCTTCCAGTAAAATCCAGAATAGAATTTAAAATCATTCTTCTTACCTACAAAGCTCTTAATGGTCAGGCACCATCTTATCTTAAAGAGCTGAATTACTTTATATACAATTAGCTAGTGTTTATATAGGTAGTTTGAACTACTTTATATACAATTAGCTAGTGTTATATAGGTAGTTTGAACTACTTATATACAGTTAGCTAGTGTTTATATAGGTAGTTTGAACTACTTTATATACAGTTAGCTAGTGTTTATATAGGTAGTTTGAACTACTTTATATACAGTTAGCTAGTGTTTATATAGGTAGTTTGAACTACTTTATATACAGTTAGCTAGTGTTTATATAGGTAGTTTGAACTACTTTATATACAGTTAGCCAGTGTTTATATAGGTAGTTTGAACTACTTTATATACAGTTAGCTAGTATTTGAATATCATGGGAGCCTTCCAGCTTAGAACACAGCAGGTGCTTCATGTTTTTATCCTGTGCTGCATTACTGTGTGTCTGATCTGAAGTGAACAGCTAGCAGACCAACACTGAGTCAACGTTGAATCAATGTTAGCTTGCTTTGTGTGAAGGGAACCTCCCAGTTTAAAAACACATCCCCTCTCTTCTCCCGCCGGTGACGTGGTGATGACGCGGACACTTCCTGATTTACCTGTTCAGGTCAACAACAACAGTTTGTATCGGACTAACCTGCAGAATGAGAGGAGACCGACAGCTTCTGTTGAAAACACGCTTCTGAGTGAGTAACGTTAAATATTTTATAGAAGTCTGAACGCAGCCAAACATTTGTTGATCGTTGACGTCCTTCGGTACAAAGTTCGCTTCCACACATGTTTCTGTGTCTGATATTAATCCACCGGTCCCGCTTTAAGCTTCTCTATGGCCGATATTCACCGTTTGCTCCCAGAGAGCCCGTTTAAACCATAGACTGTATAGAAAAAGGTTTAAACCCGCGGTTTAAGGTTTCTGCCCCAGGATGTCCGCGGGGTCTTAAAAAGTCTAAAAAGGTAATAAATCAATTTTGCGAAAATTAAGGCCATTAAAAAGTATTAAAATGTCTTAATCGCCATTTAACAAGATATTTTTTTCAATGTGAAAATCCTGTTTGTCCAAACGTTTGTTTGCTAAAAGTGTAAGTGAACGTATTTATTTATAATGCATAGCCAAAAATACTCGACAGGCAGTGAGGAAAAAGATTTACGAATACAACCGACCGTGATCTGCCCCCGCCGGACCCGCAAAGGTAATCGTCCAGTCGGAGTGGCGATCAGGAGTAACGGGATTCACCCGGTGGGCCGGTCGCCCTGCGGCCCCTGAACAGCCCTGAAAAACAGGAGCGCGATGCGGCGCCAGCAGCTGATCAGTAAGACAGAAGACTACAGGGAGAATTCAAGGAGCGTGTGGGTTTGGATAATGTGAGCTGGCTGTTTAGCTAAAGCTCTGCTTTATTTTATTTTTTTAACTTCTCATAAAGCCGACGCTCTCGTCAGCGTCACTTTTTGTGCACAGACCAATCACAGCCTGGATGGAGCGGGGTTTTAAAAAAAGGTTTGATGTGCTGCAACAAACTTTATAAATGTTGAACTCCGTGTTCTGCATAAAGATTATTGACGAGTTAGTAGCCTGATCAAAATCAAGGTTGGAGACTCTCATTTAGCCTGGAGCAAAAAAAAAACAACCCCAAACTGAAACCGCTGTAATTTGAATAAATAATATTATACTAGTGGTAAGTTATTATTATATGAAATTATATTGAATATAGTAACATAATGAATATATTAATATCAAGCTTACAGTTTACTATTAAATTAACAATATACTTAATTTAATGTTATACTAATGCAATCATTCAGAGTAGTTCCTCTTCCGTGTTGTGCCTGTGCTGCAGCGCCTACACTACTTACATATTCATCACTCAATTTATTCTCTTCATCTTTGTTCCCTCCTGCCCTGTTTTTGTTTTTTTTTGTTGTATTGATCAGGCGGTCGATGAAAGTTCTCACACATATCACTGCAGGCAAGCTCATATTATCTAGTTTAAACCAGCTAAAACACCAAATGACTTTGTGTTTCACATGATTTGCTGTAATATTGCGTACATAAACGTCATAGTTTATGTAAGACAGCTGCTTTTCACAGGAAATCTGACCTTCACATAGAAAACAGTGTGAACCGGTGAAAACATGATGAACCTGTTAGTTTTCAGGATGACTGATGGTATGAAGACCGAGCTGGTGAGCGCCATCCACCTGCAGGAGGTGGAACTGCAGGAGAAGCCTGCAGACAAGGAGCAGGGCAGCAAGAACAACAACAATGGTGAGTCACAAATCAATAACCAATAATCAGCAGAGTTTGGAAGGAGAGTCTGACGTGTTGACCTCCAGAGATAAAGCTGAGCTGTCGGAGGGAAACAAGAGAAAACATCTTCCTGCTCCTGCAGTATATGTACACACAGGGTACACACACGGTGTAGATGTACACACGGTGTAGATGTACACACAGACGGTGTAGATGTACACGCAGGGTACACACACAGTGTAGATGTACACGCAGGGTACACACACAGTGTAGATGTACACACAGACGGTGTAGATGTACACACAGGGTACACACACGGTGTAGATGTACACACGGTGTGTACACACACGGTGTAGATGTACACGCAGGGTACACACACAGTGTAGATGTACACGCAGGGTACACACACAGTGTAGATGTACACACAGGGTATACACACACGGTGTAGATGTACACGCAGGGTATACACACACGGTGTATATGTACACGCAGGGTGTACACACACGGTGTATATGTACACGCAGGGTGTACACACACGGTGTATATGTACACACAGGGTACACACACAGTGTAGATGTACACGCAGGGTACACACAGACGGTGTAGATGTACACGCAGGGTGTACACAGACGGTGTAGATGTACATGCAGGGTGTACACACAACGGTGTATATGTACACGCAGGGTGTACACACACGGTGTATATGTACACGCAGGGTGTACACACACGGTGTATATGTACACACAGGGTACACACACAGTGTAGATGTACACGCAGGGTACACACAGACGGTGTAGATGTACACGCAGGGTGTACACACACGGTGTATATGTACACACAGGGTACACACACAGTGTAGATGTACACGCAGGGTACACACAGACGTGTAGATGTACACGCAGGGTGTACACACAGACGGTGTAGATGTACACGCAGGGTGTACACACAGACGATGTAGATGTACACGCAGGGTACACACAGACGATGTAGATGTACACGCAGGGTACACACACAGACGGTGCAGATGTACACGCAGGGTGTACACACAGACGATGTAGATGCCAGCAGGCGAACACGAGGTTCAAATACAAATAAATCAAAGTGTCTAACAGACGAGCTCAGTGATGTCACTCAGGTGAGTTTGTTCTGAAATGCCACCTCAGGTGTTCCTGAGCCGACAGCCACGCTAACCTGACCACGTGTTTACATTCACAGACGTCATCGTCAACATGACGTTAAACATCTAAGAAGAGGAAGAAGGTGTCTCCAATCTTTAAACTGTATCTGTGTTTCTGCAGCAGCTTATGAGACGTTCACTGTCGAGGACGCCGTGGAAACTATCGGCTTCGGACGCTTTCACATCATGCTGTTCGTCATCATGGGGAGCTCCAACGTAAGACACGCTTCCTGCAGTCTGAACAAATCAGCTCCTGCTGCTTCTTCCTCCTCCTCACCCCGTTAACCCAGCTCCCCCCTAGATACAATCTTCTCACCTGGTTCAGGACTCACCTGAGCCAGCCCTAACTATAAGCTTTATCAAAGAGGAAAGTCTTAAATGTGGAGATGGTGTCTGCCTCCTGAACCCAAACTGGAACCTGGTTCCACAGGAGAGGAGCTTGATAGCTGAACGCTCTGGCTCCTAGTCTACTTTTGGAGACTCTAGGAACCACAGGTGCATTCTGGGAGACAGAGCGTTCATGAGCTCTTTCAGATGAGATGGTGCTGGTCTGGATCAGCCTGATAATAAGCAGCTGCAGTAATCCAGCCTAGAAGGAACAAGTGCTGGACTAGGTTTTCGTTAGACAGGATGTTCCTGGTGGTGGTAACCTAGGTGAAAAAAGGCGGGGCTTGAAGTTTGTTTAAAGTGAGAGTTTGATTCATAAACCCAGTAAATGAGCTGAAACTCGTCTGATCGTCTGTGTTGTCTGTGTGTGAGCAGATAGTGGAGGCCATGGAGATCATGCTGCTGGCTGTGGTTTCTCCCGAGATTCGATGTGAGTGGCGTCTGGAAGACTGGCAGGTCGCTCTGGTCTCCACAGTGAGTGATACTGTGATACTGCAGTACTGTGATATACTGCAGTACTGTGATATACTGCAGTACTTGTGATACTGCAGTACTGTGATATACTGCAGTACTTGTGATGTACTGCAGTACTTGTGATGTACTGCAGTACTGTGATATCCTGCAGTACTTGTGATGTACTGCAGTACTTGTGATGTACTGCAGTACTTGTGATATCCTGCAGTACTGTGATGTACTTCAGTACTTGTGATGTACTGCAGTACTTGTGATATCCTGCAGTACTGTGATATCCTGCAGTACTGTGATGTACTGCAGTACTTGTGATGTACTGCAGTACTGTGATGTACTGCAGTACTTGTGATATACTGCAGTACTGTGATACTGACGGAGTGTTTGTCTCAGATGGTGTTTCTTGGCTTCATGGTTTGTGGAGTTCTGTCAGGATACATCGCTGACAGATACGGACGCTGGAAGGTCAGAAACATCTTTAATACTATCAAATATAAACATACTGTGATCACATGGGACCTGAGCCGGTCTCCTGATTGGCTGCCTGTGTGTGTGAGCAGGTGGTGTTTGGAGGATTCGTGTGGAGCGCCTACTTCTCTCTGCTCACCTCATTTGCGCCGTCCTACGGTTGGTTCATCTTCCTGCGCAGCATGGTGGGCTGCGGCGTGGCCGGCGTGTCGCAGGGGTCAGTGCACGCACGTTAACACGCACGTTAACACGCACACATGAACACACATAATAAGTATCAGGTTGTTGTTTCAGGTTTGTGCTGAAGACGGAGTTCATCCCGGAGAAGTACCGAGCGTTCCTGCTGCCTCTGGCGACTGTGAGTCCGCTCAGCACTGAACATCAGGAAGGGGGGCGGGGGTCTTATTGATGGACTCAGGTCTGGGTTCAGGTCCTCTGTCCTGTAAAGACGTGTCAGTGATAAAGTTTGAGCTTTACACAGGCGAGTCTCTGTCTGATGTGTTGAAATCTCCCAGCATGCTCTCTGTCTGCGTGTCAGGTCTTCTGGATGCTGGGCTCCATGCT